CTCCAGCTTTGATAACTGATATGTCAGATCCGCAATCGACAATAAATGACAATTTCAGATCAGCCATATCAACCATTACCTGACCATAATTTGTGGCAGACACATTTATTGTAAATGCTGCCCTAGCTGTACACCTAAAGGGTGGATATTTGATGGTTGTGGGATATGTTGTTGATGGTGTTGTTGTTGTACTTGATTTGTTGGTAGAATAGATAGTTGAGTTCCTTGTTGCGCAGCCGGTTGATAAAGCATACCGTTTTGCTGTGCTAGGAACATATGTGGAGTAAATTGACCTCGGTGGTTCCAATTGCCTCTTTGGTATCCAAAATTTCCGCGCTGGGGGGGATAATTTCCACGATTGGATTGATTGTGTGGATAATTTCCACGATTGAATTGAAATTGATGGTACCTATCTCTTCGTTCATGATAATTAAATTGTGGCCCAATTCCTCGCGTATAATTTCCGCGTGTTTTATTGTACATTCCACCACGTCCTCGTGGATAGTTTACTCTGCTTGTAAGTATTTGCGCATTTGAACTATGCGTATTATTATTTGAGTTGCTGGTTGATACATCATTTTCCAAAAGTTTTTGGAAGGCGTCATTTATTTTGGTGAAGGTCCCAGCCTTTAAGATAATTTTAGTATCATTATTCTTTGTGCTTTTTATGAGGGCTTCAACTTCCTTTGTTGCCACCACCACAGCACCGGCAACCCGGCCCGCGGTGCTTTCGCTGTAAACGATTGGGCGAAACGAAGGTTCGCTCAAACAACACTAGGCGCGCATTGAGTGGACGGATGAGTGCAATACAGATCTCTATACAGGTTGAAATCAATAGAATAGAATACGATAGAATAATCGAATTTGGAATGTTTACCTATTGCGATAATGTGGTATCTTATCTATTTATGTGGTACCTTATAAATTAACTTGAAATTAATAGGTGAGAGTAAGTTGTGCTTATATAATTAACTTAATTAATGCTAATTACCCTACTCTAAAACTACAGCTAAAAATATTGCTAGATATAGCAAAGTTGTTTGGAAATAGTGACTCAATGATTGTGAATTACTTTGGTAGGTTAGAAACACTTAATTGTTTAATGCTAGAGATTAATTATGTTGCCATAACTATCGTAGCAGATAATTAGACCAAGACGGACGAGGAATTAAGAGCAGTCACTATCAGTGTAATAGTGCACTGTTTAATGTGAGTAAGATTTATAATGAAATAGTACACGGTGTTTATTAATTTGTTTTACAGCTTGAAGCATAAAATATACCTGCTATCAAGAACGGTGCGAGGTTTTGTTTATTAATAACAAAACTTCAAGATTAAACATCTACGATGGTATCTGATAGATCTGATCGATCGGATGCGTCCTCTGTGGACGATGAAACAACAGAAGTCTATATTTGTGTTGCTTGTGAGAAGTCTTATGGGCCCGATGACTTCGTGACCTGCGACAAGTGTGACAAATGGTGGCATTTTTCGTGCGCTGGAGTCGATGGAACTGTAGCAAACAAAGACTGGATTTGCCCGCGATGTTTACCATCACCTGTACCAGCTTCGATACGATCGACTACGTCGAGTCGGAGGGCAGATTTGCAACGCAAACGCCTCGCTGAACAGCAGGAACTGGAGGAGAAACAGCTGGAGTTGGAAAGGAAGCAGCTGGCGCTGCAAAAGAAGCACTCACAGGAGAAATACGATCTGGAGGAGTCGCTTGCGGAAGAAGCTGACAACCGCAGTGTAAAGAGCCGTGTGATCGAGATCGAAGCTCGAGAACGCGAAAAGCAAGTTCAAGATTGGGTTGACAAGCATACCTCCGCGAAGCAGAAATCCACCGTAAAATCTTCCGATACCACGAAGCTTCATCCATCTCTACCAAACGGCAGCGGTATTCCGTCCAGGAATGATGGAGCTGAAGATCAAGGTCTACTTGAAGAAGCTACTAACGCAGGAACGCTGCCAGATGATAGTTCGCTACAGCAGTTTCTGAAGAATCGGATACTAATTCAAAAACAACAGAAACGGCCAGTTACGGTTAAAGCGCTGCTCCTCATGGAAACTGAACTACGAAAATTTCGGTTACAGATGCAGCAATCGATGACAAGTGGAAAAGAGGATCAACCTGTCCCTGAAGATTCTTGTCCACGTCCCGATGCTTCCAAAGGAGCAATCCCTAAAACAGTTCCGATAGATTGGGACAACAAAGCCACTAAACATGGTCAACCTTCCATTACGAAGAACCAGAAGAAAAAACCCGGAATTCGTGTTCCGGATCCACCTCTTCGTAATAGGAAGGAAACCCTTGCAAAGGAAAAGATTCCAGAAGAACCGCGCAACCCGCGGGTGAATCCCGATCCTCCTAGTCACAGCACGAGTGTGTTGCATCATCCATCTCCGCCTTCGATCCCAGCGAGTGGAATGATGGATGAAGACCAGCCGCAAACTCCGCCCCCACGCTTAATTCAGCCAGGCCCCCGCTTGATCCACGATGAGCAGCCACGCTATCCACCCACGTGCTCGAACAACGGCGGAATTAGAGGCAACCCTCCCATAAATCAACACCCGTTTACCCCATCAAGATATCCTGAAGAGCCTAATCTGAGAAGACCATTACCGGAACAGTTAGCTGCTAGGCAAGTAATGCCCCGTGATTTACCGGACTTCTCGGGTGATCCAGAGGAGTGGCCGATTTTCTACAGTAGCTTCTACCACTCTTCTGCGGCCTGTGGGTTCAATAACGTGGAAAATCTCGCACGTTTGCAACGTTGCTTGAAAGGCAATGCTCTCAAGTCAGTGCGATATTATTTGCTCTCTCCCGAATCAGTTCCGGATGTAATTGAGACGCTTCGAACCTTGTACGGCCGCCCTGAAGTTATCATCAACAGGCTGATTAGAAACGTGCAGGAGACACCAGCACCCAAACCGGAGAAGCTGGAAACGTTGATCGAATTTGGGATGTCGGTCAGGAATTTGACACAGCACCTCGTTGCATTGAAAGTTGCCGGCCAACATAAAGCTTCAGTGGGCACAACATCTAATGTTCCAACCAGAAGCGAGTTTGAGAACTTTCAGCAACTTCATGGCAATGGTGGTCGAATCGGTAAGCAAGGTGGTCGTCTATACGGGTGGTCAACACACCAAGAACGACAAATCTCGAGGAAAGGACAAAGGGTTCATCCACGCTCACACCGAGGGCCAAGTCGCTGTCGTGCCGATAAAAGAGAAGGGTGAGAACGAAAAACTTTGCCTATTCTGTGGAAAAGGAGGACATCGCCTGAAAGACTGTACGAAGTTCCAGCAGCTATCGGTGGACGATCGATGGAAAAATATTCAATCGTTGAAGGTGTGCAGAAGCTGTCTTAATCCACATGGACGTCGCACGTGCAGATTTTCCAGAAACCTGAAGCAATAGCGAAGAAGCCTGTGCTCGCATCGGCTGAGAATCATGTTCATCATCACTGCGGACAGTCCATACTCTTTCGAATCATTCCCGTTACACTGTACGGGGAGTCGAAGTCCGTCACCGTGTTCGCATTCCTGGATGAAGGGTCTTCTGCAACGCTTATCGAACGTAGTCTGGTTGAAGAACTCGGTGTGAAAGGGCCAACAGCTCCACTGTGCCTCAAGTGGACCGGCAACATGACGAGAACCGAGGAGGAATCGCAGATCGTAACGCTTGATGTTTCCGAAATGGATCGGACGAAACGGTTCCAGCTGGTGAACGCACGCACAGTAGGAGATTTGAATCTGCCATCACAAACCCTACGCTACGTGGATCTCCAAAAGAACCATCCTCACCTCAAAGGTTTACCGGTACGAAGTTACGAAAGTGTCACTCCCAAGCTTCTGATAGGCCTCCGAAACCTACAACTAGCCGTTCCTCAAAAAATCAAGGAAGGACGTAGTGGCATCGTAGCTGCCAAGACTCGGTTGGGGTGGTGCGTGTATGGAACCTTGGATCCAGTCAAAAAATCGGATGAGTATAGCTATCACGTGTGCGAATGCGAAGCGGAAGAAAGGTTGAACCTTATGATGAAGGATTACTTCAACGCCGAGGATTGTGGAGTGAATCATCGGGACGTACTAGATTCTGAAGAAGAGAAAAGAGCGCGCAATATTATGGAGGAGACTACGTCAAGAGTAGGGGATCGCTTCGAGACGGGACTTCTGTGGAGATCCGACTACGTAGAGTTACCCGATAGCTACTCAATGGCTATGCGACGACTAGAGTGTTTGGAGAAGCGAATGGAGAGAGGAGAGCATTCATCGCCAAGTGACGGAGTACCAGGAGAAAGGGTATGCCCATAGAGCAACGGAAGATGAATTGACCAAGGCTGATCTTAGACGGATTTGGTACCTTCCGTTAGGCGCTGTCTGCAACCCGAAAAAACCAGGTAAAATTAGATTAATTTGGGATGCAGCGGCAAAAGTCGATGGAATGTCGTTGAATTCCTTTTTACTCCCTGGGCCGGATCTTCTTGTACCACTTCCATCCGTCCACTTTCGTTTCCGTCAATATCCGATGTCCGCCAATATCAAAGAGATGTTCCACCAGGCAAATGTAATCGAACGCGATCAACCTTCACAAAGCTTCCTGTTCCGCGACAGTCCAGAGGATAATCCCATAGTTTTCGTGATGAACGTCTTGACATTTGGAGCCACCAGTTCTCCTTCATCTGCACAGTTCGTCAAGAACCGGAACGCGCAAGAGTTTTTCGAGCAGTATCCGAAAGCATCGGAGGCAATTCACAAATGCCATTACGTCGACGATTATCTCGACAGTTTCGAGACGGTCGAGGAAGCAAAGTTGGTAGCTGGTGAAGTAAAATGGATTCACTCGAAGGGAGGCTTCGAAATACGAAATTGGTCGTCAAATGACCAAGCTGTACTGGAACATTTGGGAGAACCAACGAAGGAAAAAATGAAAGATTTATCGTTGAAGGCTGATTCAGAGCGCGTTCTGGGCATGTTGTGGTATACGGAAGCGGATGTACTGTGCTTTTCAACGACGTTCAGGGAAGAAATCGTGGCACTGATCAAGACGGGTGTGAGTCCAACAAAGCGGCAAGTATTAAAGTGTGTCATGAGTCTCTTTGACCCACTAGGATTGCTGGCATGCGTCCTAGTACACGGAAAAATTATGATGCAAGATATTTGGCGGAGCGGAATCCAATGGGACGAGCACATCAACGACAAAATCCACGAAACTTGGCAGAGGTGGATAGATTTGCTGGAACACGTCAACGAAGTTCGACTACCGAGGTGCTACTTCCGAAATGCAAGTGCTGATCTATACAATTCATTGGAAGCCCACGTATTCGTCGATGCGAGCGAAGCAGCGTATTATGCAGTAGTGTATTTCCGGGTATTCAACTCGGATGGGATGGTGGAATGTGCTTTGGTGTCAGCGAAAACGAAGGTTGCTCCATTGAAGTACGTCTCCATTCCTCGATTGGAGCTGATGGCGGCGGTCATAGGTATTCGTCTACTCTCGTTCGTGAGGGAAAGTCACACCGTTCAGTTCAACCGCTGCGTCTACTGGTCAGACTCCGAAGTAACGTTGGCATGGATCCGCTCTGAACATCGAAGGTACCGACCGTTCGTAGCCTGTCGCGTTGGAGAAATTCTATCAGCGACTAATGTCAAGGATTGGAGGTACGTTCCGAGTAAACTAAACGTTGCTGATGATGCCACTAAATGGGGCGAAGGACCTCGCCTCGAAGAATCTGGCCGCTGGTTCAGTGGTCCACCTTTTCTACTACTGCCCGAAGAAAAATGGCCTAAACAGAAAAAGCTTTTCGATAGTACCGACGAAGATCTTCGAGCATGCTACCTACACCAAGCAGTGCAAATCTTGCACAATCCGATAAATTTCGAACGTTTCTCAAAGTGGAACCGACTTCAAAGGACAACCGCTTACGTGATCCGTTTTGTAAACTTTTTAAAGCGAAATAAATCCGACGCGAGCAACCGTGGTGCAGGCTTGGCGCAAGAGGAGCTGCAGGCTGCGGAAGTTCTACTTTGGAAACTCGCACAATCGGAGGCTTATTGTGATGAGGTAGTAATACTAAAGCTATCATTACACTGTTTGACGAAACGCCAAATATTTGACGAATTCTGACAAATATATTTGCTCAGCGTGTAATGGCAAAATAAATTTGACCAATTTTTGCCGTGCAAATATTTGCCGTGTATTTGACATTCTAATTATTTGACGTTTTGTCAAATAGTGTGATGCACTTTTCAAATGTTTGTCAAGCATGTTTGCTCAATACTATCAAATAATTTATTTGACACACGGAAATTTCTTGAGTTGCAAACATAAACAAACAAGCTTGCTGGTGCGTTCATCGTTTCTCGAAAGAAATCGGTTATTTATGATTCTGTGACTGTGCGTTTGTGCTGTTTTGTGCGGAAATCAATAAAATGATCATGGCAGAAGACGACTCCGCTGCTTTCTCGGATGAAATGGAGAGTGTTGGAGCGCCAGGTCCCAGTGCGACAGTGCCCAGTGCCCGGAGGAACCGCAAAAAAGTGACGGCAGAGTGGAGCGAGGAGTCCACTTTGACATTGATTGCAGCCGTTGAATCGCAGGATTTGCTCTGGAATGCTGCGAGCAAAGATTATAAAAATCGTAATCTGCGAAATACTGTGTGGGAGGAAATGGCTGAGAACATTTTCAACCGAGTTTACGATGGTGCCCAACTGCAGGCGAAATGGTCGAACCTTCGCATACAATTCAAGGCGTACCATACCAAGGCCAAACATACGAAGTCCGGCCAAGGAGCACGGGAAAATGCTATTTCGTGGAAATATTACGTAGCAGCTGCCGAAGAAGAACAAACCACGGAATCTGTGTCAAACCTGGTAAGTTAATCAAAACGATCTCTAATGTACCATCCATCCAGAAAATTCCACCTGTTCACAATCAAAACACCTTCAGATCTCCACCGCTTCCCTTCAATAGAAATCGGTTTCTTGCTTCCGTGTCCCGGCATTCGTATTATACCGCGTTCAGTTGAAAACCGTAATCAGCTACTAGCGACATTCGATTTACTCTCTTCCTGTACGTTAAACATAGTGTCGGCAGTAGTGCGCTGTAATCGCACAATGATGCGCTATACAGCGCACTACTTGTGACACTATGTTAAACGTACAAGACGAGAGTAAAATCGAATGTCGCTAGTAGCTGATTCCGGTTTTCAACTGAACGCGGTATATTTTACGCAACTTCATCACGACGAACGATCCCCGCTCTCTTTCGAACTCGCAGTTCACTTCCAGCGACTCAACTGGTACTTCCTGGCGCAGGATATTCCACTAACTGTCCAAGTCAAGAGACAGATGTCGGGTCTCAATCTCCTCCAGCATATTATTCTCCAGGATACACTGACCATTTTCTGGAAATCATTGATTCATTCGTGAACTCCCAAGTGAAAGCTTATGATTCCTCCCACTACTTCTTCTGATGATTATTTTCCCTTTTTCTTTGCTCTTTGGACTTACCTCTGGTATATTTTGAAGCATGGTGGGGTATTAGGTATTTTCTCCTGAACATTAATCCGAAGGTACAGTGTTTCAAGAAATTGTCCGTCTAGCAACAGTTCACAATTTTCGGGAAAAAAACTGCACAAAAACAATTTAGAAGATATATGATATTATGGCTATTGGTTCATCAAGTGTATATCGATTATTGGTGCAGTACTGGGCTCATTTGGTTAAGTGAGTGAGAAGATAGAGCTATTTTACGAAACCCATTTTTTTTTCGAAAATCCACATTTTCTCAAAGTTCAATTAACCAAACCATATGCTGCTCATTCGCAGCCATAATAAAGACCTTTCAGATGCCACTGGCAACCATTGAGGTGTACGGACATTTGTTTGATACACTGTAAAAATTCCAGTTTTCAAATAGTTTTTGAATTTTCTCCTGGACATTAGAACAAAAGGTGATATTCCAGCTTCAAAATAGTTTATGATTTTTTTCCTGGACATTCATACAAAAGGTGATATTCCAGCTTCAAAAAATTTTTAAATTTTCTCCTGAAAATTAATACAAAAGGTGATATTCCAGCTTCAAAATATTTTTACCCTTCTTACAAAGAAGGGTATAGATATTGCTTGAAAAACCAACTTTCGATCCGAGGCCCGGAGGGCCGAGTGTCTTATACCATTCGACTTAACTCGACGAGATCGGAACATGTCTGTGTGTGTGTGTGTGTGTGTGTGTATGTGTGTGTGTGTGTGTGTGTGTGTGTGTGTGTGTGTGTGTGTGTGTGTGTGTGTGTGTGTGTGTGTGTGTGTGTGTGTGTGTGTATGTAACGAAATGAATGCGCTCACGTTTCTCAGCAACCGCTCAACCGATTTGGACAAACTCGGCGCCAAATGAAATGTCTTGGGGTCCCATTGAACGCTATTGAACGGTTTTTGAATCGGTGAACCGGTTTCGGAGATATGGCCAGAATAAGATCCGGTGAATATGGACCTTAATACATACCTATATATCGAAAAACGTGCCAAACCCATCATGCGACACATCAAATGACTCCTTAATTCGAAAATAAGATCATTGGAAGTCTAACTGAGTGTCCAAGAATACATTGGCCTCATCCGGACATGTTCCGGATATCCTCGGGGGTACCAGAATCCAGACTTCTTGCCATACTCTGACTTTTACTAAAACCCATCATGTAACACCTCAGATCACATTAGAATACAAACGTATGGAAATTGGTAGCCATATTGATTGTCCAGGACCACATTGAAGGAGTGGCCAGAATCTGATTTGAATTAAAACCCATCATGAGACACATCAAATTACATTGAAATTCGATTATAAAGCCATTAGTTACCTTCTTTAGTATCCACAACCCTCTTGGTCGCACCCGATATGTTCCAGCTACCCTCGGGAAATGGTCAGGATTGAAAATAAGTTCACTTGAACTCATATTGAACGTAAGAAGGGTCAGATCACACCATAGGTGGATAAATCCAGGTTTTTTTTTTTTTTTTTCAGCCGAAGATTAAAACAAAAGGTGATATTCCAGCTTCAAAATAATTTTTTATTTTCTCCTGGACATTGATACAAAAGGTGATTTTCCAACTTCTAAATAGTTTTTGAATTTTCTCCTGGACATTTATACGAAAGGCAATATGCTAGCTTCTAAATAACTTTCATTTTTCTCCTGAACATTAATACAAAGGGCAAGATTCCAACTTCAAAATAATTTTTGAATTTTCTTCTGGACATTAATACAAAGGCGTTATCCCAGCTTCAAAATTGTCTGATCTTCAACAGGACTTCCTTGAATTTCACCAAGACTTCCCTGATCTTCAACAAGACTTCACTGTACTTCACCAAGATTTCCGTGAACTTCGCCAGGACTTCCCCGATCTTCAACACGACTTACCTGAATTTCACCAAAACCTCACTGATCTTCGTCAGGACTTTACTGAACTCAGCCAGGACTTCCCTGATCTTTGACAGGACTTCCCTGAGCTTTGTCTCGACTTCCCATATTTTCGCCAGGACTTCCCAGATCTTCACCAGGATATACCTGATCTTCAACAAGACTTCCCTGAACTTCGACAGGACTTCCTTGAACTTCACCAAGACTTCTATGAAATAACACAGGACTTCCAAGATCTTCAACAGCACTTACCCTGAATTTCGCCAAGACCACCTTGGTCTTCGACAGAAGTTTTCTGAACTTCGCCAAGACTTCCCTGAACTTCGCCAGGCCTTCCCAGATCAGTGGCGCACCCAGAGTGGGGTTTTAGGGTTCAAACCCCGCCCCAGAGCCATGAGTCACACACAGAACTTTCTTCCTCTTCTTAGTGGTATTCAGTTTTTGCCTTCAAAAGAACATCCCTGAATTTCACCGAGACTTCCCTGATCTTCGACAGGACTTTAATTAACTTTGCAAGGAGTTCCCAAATCTTCAAAAGGACTTCCCTGAACTTCATCAGGACTTCCCTGAAATTCAGCAGAACTTCCCTGAAATTCGGCAGAATATTCCCTGAAATTTGGCTGAACATCTTGAAAATCAGCCGAACTTCCTGAAATTCGCCAGAACTTTCCGGAAACTCCGCAGGACAGCCCTGAGTTTTGCCAGATCTTTCCTGAAATTCAGCAAAAGTTCCCTGAAATTCGCCAGAACTTCTCTGAAATTTTCCAGAGCTTCCCTGAAATTCAGCAGGACTTCTCTGATATTCAGCAGAACTTTCCAGTAATTCACCAGAATTTCCTTGAAACTCAGCAGAACTTCCCTAAAATTTGGCAAAATTTTTCTGAAAATCGGTAGGACTTCCCTGAAGTTTGCCAGAACTTCCCTGAAATTCACTAGATCTTCTCTGAGATTTGGCTGAATTTCCCTGAAATTCACCAGAACTTCGCTTAAATTCAGCAGAATTTCCTTGAAATTTGCCAGAATTTCCCTGAAGTTCTGCTGGAAATTCCTGAATTTCACCAGAACTTCCCTGGAATTCAGCAGAACTTCGTCTTAATTCTCCACAACTTCCCTGAAAAGCAGCAGAACAGAACAACTTTCCTGAAATTCAGCAGGACTGCCTTGAAATTAAGCACAACTTCCCTGAAATTCAGTATAACTTCATTTAAATTCGCAATAACTTCCTTCAAATTCGCTAGAACTTCCCTGAAATTCACCAGGCATCCCTGGCATTTGGAAGTATTTCTCTTAAATTCGGCAAAATATTCCCTGAAATTTAGCAGAGCTCCCCTGAAAATCAGCAGGACTTTCCTGAAATGTGTGCAGGGCTTTCGTGAAATTCAGCAGTACACCCTAGAAATTCACCAGAAATGAAATAATAACTTCCCTGAAATAAAGAATGACGTCCCTGAAATTCGGCAGAATATTCCTTGAAATTTGGCTGAACAGCCGTAAAATCAGCAGAACTTCCCTATAATTTGACAAAGCTTTCCTGAAAATCAGCAGAACTTCCTTGCAATTCACCATAACTTTCATGAAATTCTGCAGAACTAGCTTGAAATACGCCAGGACATCCCTGGCATTGGACAGTATTTCCCTGAAATTTGGCAGAATACTCCCTGAAATAAAGTAGAACTTCCCTGACAAACAGCAGGGTTTTCCTGAAATGTGTCACAACTTTCCTGGGATTCAGCAGGACACCCCCTGAAATTTGACAAAACTTCCCTGAAATTTAGCAGAACTTCCCTGAAATCAGCAGAAGTTCCCTGAAATTCACCAGAACTTCCTTGGAAATCAGCAGAACTTCCTTGAAATTAAGCTGGACTTCCCTGAAATCCAGCAGGACTCCCCTGTCATTTATTAGAAACTTTCCGGATATTTGTCAGAACTTTACTGAACATCAGCAGAACTTCCCTGGAATTTGGACTTCCCTGAAATTCAGCAGAACTGTCCTGAAATTTTCCAGAACTTCCCTGAAATTCAGCAGAACTTCCTTGAAATGTACCAGAATTTCCCTGAAATTCAGTAGAACATCCTTGAATCCTGCCATTGGGCAGTATTTCCCTGAAATTCGTCAGAATATTTCCTGAAATTAAGAAGTACTTCCCTGAAAATCAGCGGGACTTCCCTGGAATTTGCCAGAACTTCCCTGAAATTCACCAGAACTTCTCTGAAATTCACCAGAACATCCCTGAAATTTGGCTGGACTTCTCTGAAATTCAGCAGAACTGTCCTGAAATTTGCCAGAACTTCCCTGAAATTCAGCAGGACTTCCTTGAAATTCAGCAGGACTTCCCTGAATTTCGCCAAGTCATCCCTGGTATTTGGCAGTATTATGCAAAATATCTTCTGAATATTCCCTGAAATTTAGCAGAATTTTCCTGAAAATCAGCAGGACTTTCCTGAAAATCAGCAGAGCCTCCCTTAAATTCAGCAGGACTTCCTTGAAAATAGCCAGAACTTCCCTGTAGTTCGCCAGAACTTCTCTGGAATTGAGCAGAACTTCCCTTAAATCCGTCAGACTTACCCTGAAATTCAGCAGAACTTTCCTGAAGTTCACCAGGACATCCCTGGAATTTGGCAGTACTTCCCTGAAATTCACCAGACCTTCCCTGTAATCGGAAGGAGCTTCACTGAAAATCAGCAGAACTTCCTTAAACTCAGCAGGGCTTTCTTGATATTGGCCAGAACGTTCCTGTCATTTGGCAGACCTTTCATGAAAATCGCCAGAATTTCCCTGAAGTTCAGCAGTACTGCCCTGAAAATCGCCAGAACTTCCCTCAAACTCGCAAAAACTTTCAAGAAATTAAGAAGAACTTCCCTGAATTTTGGCAGTACTTTTCTGAAAATCAGCAGGACTTCCCTGGATTTCACCAGAAGTTCCCTGAAAATTGGCTGGACTTCCCTGAAATCCAGCAGGACTTCCTGGAAATTCGCCAGAATTTCCCTGAAATTCAGCAAAGCTTCCTTGAAATTCGCTAAAACTTTCCTTAAATTCAGCAAGACTTCCTTGAAATTCGCCAGGATATCCCTGGCATTTGACAATTTTTCGATGAAATTTAGCAAAATCTTCCCTGAAATAAAACAGAACTTCCCTGAAAATCAGCATGACTTTCCTGAAATGTGGCAAAACATTCCTGAAATTTAGCAGGACACCCCTGAAATTCACCACAACTGAAATGTGGCAGAACTTCCCTGAAATTCGGCAGAATATTCCCTGAAATTTGGCTGAACATCCTGAAAATCAGAAGAACTTCCCTGAAAATCGGCAAAACTTTCCTGCAATTCAGCAGGACTTCCATTAAGTTCGCCAGAACTTCCCTGTCATTTGGCAGAGTTTTCCTGTAAATAAGCAGAGCTTCCTTTATATTTATCAGGACTTCCCTGAAAATCGCCAGGACTTCCTTGTTATTTACCAGAACTTCTTTGAAATTCAGCAGAACTTCCCTGGAATTCAGCAGAATATTCCTGAAAATCGGTAGGACTTCCGTGGAATTTTCCGGAACCTCTCTGAAATTCCGAAGGACTGCCCTGAAATCAGCAGGCCTTTCCTGAAATAAGTCAGAACTTCCCTGGAATTCCGCAAGACTTCCCTGAAATTCACCAAAACTTCCCTTAAATTTGGCTGGACTTCCCTGAAATTCAGCAGGACTGTCCTGAAATTTTGCCAGAACTTCCCAGAAATTCAGCAGAACTTCCTTGAAATTCACCAGAACTTCCTTGAAATTTAGCAGAACTGTCTTGAAGTTCGACAGAACATCCCTGAAATTTGACAAAATATTTCCTGGAATTGAGCAGATTTTCCCTGAAAAGCAGCAGGGAAATGTCCAGAAATGTGGCAGAACTTTCCTGAAATCCAGCAGGACACACCTGAGATTCACCAGATCTGAAATTCAGCAGAACTTCCCTGAAGCTCAGCAGGACTTCCTTGAAATTCGGCAGAATATTCCCTGAAATTTGGCTGAACATCCTGAAAATCAGCAGAACTTCCCTGAAATTCACCAGAACTTCCATTAAATTCAGCAGGACTTCCCTGAAATTCGCCAGAACTTCCATGTCATTTGGCAGAGCTTTCCTGAAAATCGCCAGAATTTCCCTGAAATTCAGCGACTTCCCTGAAATTCATCAGAAGTTCCCTGAAATTTGGCTGGACTTCGCTGAAATTCACCAGGACTTCCTTGAAACTCGGCAGAATTTCCCTGAAATTCAGCAGAACTTCCTTTAAATTCGCCAGAACTTCCCTGAAATTCAGCATAATTTCCTTGAAATTTGCCAGAACTTTCCTGAAGTTCAGCACGACTTCCCTGAAATTCGCCAGTACATCCCTGGCATAGTTTCTCTGAAAATCAGCAGGACTTGCCTGAAGTTTGCCTGCACTTCCCTGTCAATCCGCAGAACTTCCCTTAAAATTAGCAGGGCTTCCCTGAAAATCACCAGAACATCCCTGTAATTCTCGCCAGAACTCCTCTGAAATTCACCAGGACTTCCTTGAAATTTAGCAAAACTTTTTTGAAAATCGGCAAGGCTTTCCTTGAATTTACCAGAACTCCGCTGAAATTCAGCAAGACACCTGAAATTCTCCAGAAGTTCCCTGAAATTTGGCTGGAATTCCCTGAAATTAAGCAGGACTTCCTTGAAATTTGGCAGAATTCCCCAGAAATTCAGCAGAACTTCCTTGAAATTCGCCAGAACTTCCCTGAAATTCAGCAGGACTTCCCTGAAATTCACCAGGACATCCCTAGCATTTGACATTTATTCCCTAAAATTCTGCAGAATATTCCATGAAATTCAGCAGAACTTCCCTGAAAATCAGCAGGACTTCCCTGAAATGTGGCAGAACTTCCCTGAAATACAGCAGGACTTCCCTGTAAATCGGTAGAATGTTCCTTGAAATTTGGCTGAAAATACATACTGAAGTTCTTAGAATGTTCCCTTTATTTCTTACAATATTTCCGAAGTTCATAGAATTGCCTGAAGTTTGTAGAGCACCCTCAAAATTCTTAGAGCTTCCGTGAAGCTCGTAACACTTTCTTGAAGTTCTTAGAATTTTCTTCAAATTTATTCAACTTCCCTTAAGTTCTTATGATTTTTCTGAAGGTCGCATTACTTCCCTGAAGTTTGTATAGCTTTCTTGACGTTCGTTTAACTTCCCTGAAGCTCTTAGATTTTCCTTGAACTTTTTTTAAATTTGATAAATTTTTTCTGAAGTTCGTTTAGCTAACAATATATTCATAGAAATTCCTTGAAGTTCAAACACCATTTCCGAAGTCCGCAGAACTTTGCTCTAATCCGTAGAACTGTCCCTTGAGTTCCATAAGGATCAAAAAAATTTCCGAAAATTTTTAATACTTCACTGAAGTCCACAGAACTTCCCTCAAGTCTGCAGAATTTCTCTGAAGTACGAAAAATTTCCTCCAATTCGTCGAAGTTCCCTGAAAACCACCTGAAGTCAGCAGTAATTCCCTGAAGTCAAAGAATTTCTATTAAGCCCGCAAATTTTCATAATTTCGAGAAAACTTGATGAAAGGAAAAACATAATGAACTGCTATACATATTTATTTCTGTTTTACTCTACAAGTGAAGAAAATAAAAATATTAAATTTTACGGTATTGCCATTCAAGTTCTCCTTCATTAACAAAATACTGTTCGAACTTTTCACGAATTTTTTTAGCGTTATCTGCAATGTATGGTGTGTTAGGAGCAAGAGGATACATGCTTGCTTCAGTCATGGTTTCTCTCCATTCGCCTGGTATTAATGTGCCATTTGTGTCATATCGGTCATACGAGCCTGTGGGAGCGTATACTCGCCCGCTCCTGGTCATTAAAAAATTATGCAGGACACAACAAGCAAGGGTTACTTTTCTTGTTTTTGTGTCATCCAAATCTATGGGCTGTCTTAAAACTCGAAAACGAGCTGTCATGATACCATAAACATTCTCGATGATTCGTCGGGTATGAGATAAACGAAAGTTGAAAATTCGATGCAAGCCTACAAGGTTTCGACCACTATATGGCTTGATCAAGTTCGGCTTCATTGCAAAGGCGTCGTCACCAACTAACACATATGGTACCGGTGTTTCTCGTCCGGGCAACGGTACGGGCTCCGGAATTTTCAGCTTATTTTGCTCCAAAGCTTTAGCGAAGGTACATTTTTTGAATACTCCCCCATCTGAAATCCGACCATTGCAACCAACATCTACGTAGATCAGCTTGTACTCAGCATCGGCTATCCCCATGAGTACAATGCTGTGTGTACCTTTGTAGTTGTAAAAAATACTTCCAGAATCAGGAGGAGCACTCATAACCACATGTTTTCCATCAACTGCTCCTATGCAATTTGGAAAATTCCATAAATCGTTGAACTTGGTTGCAATTGTTCTCCATTCATTTTCAGTTGAAGGCATCTGTTAAAAGAAAATAGAAAAAGTAAATAATATCTCCTTTGTGCATTTCTTCGCAGGTACTGGATACGGAACAAGAAGCTGGCTCATCATGTAATACAACGCCTGTAGCCAAAAAGAGAAAGAAGACTGAATCAAGCGAAAGCTTAAAAGTCCTGGCGATTGAAGGAATGCAGCGTGCATTGAATAAAATGGATGGTGACGTAGATTCGTTCCAAACGTTTGGAAACTTTGTTGCATCCGAGCTCCGTAAAATTCCGGACTCAGCGGTGGCGAACAGAGTGCAGCGCACCCTGACCCGGAACCTTATCGATTTACTGGATGAGGCGGAGTACAATCAACTCTGTAATCAACTGTACAATATTCATTTGTTTTCTTTACAATAAACTCGATTGATCTGAATACCATACAGTTGTACTTTAACCCTTCTTATAAAGATCATTTGGAAAACCGAGTTTCGATCCGAGGCCTGGAGGGCCGAGTGTTTTATACCATTTGAATCAGCTCGACGAGCAAGTTCAAACCTAGTAGTGGGAGGAAGTCGCCTTACTCGAACTAGATCCGGGTCCCACCGGAGAAGTGATCAGTATCTAACTTGAACTAAAACTCATCATGCGGCATATCAAATCACATAATAATTCATGTGGCTGCAGTCGGACATGTTCCGGGTACCCCCGGACAAATGGCCAGACCGTATCATGAACCAAAACCCATCAAGCTACACCTCAATTTTACATCAGAATTTGAAAATAAGCCTTTTTGAGTGTGTAGAACCATATTGACTACGTGTAGACATGGTATAGGTAGTCCTGGAGACTCAGCTGGACACTCAGCTTGCGAGGACTGCTACACTGAATCACCAGGGCATCATCGATGGATGATGATTGGCTTACACCTAATGCTCAATTGGTCGGGTTCATTGCTTATGGCATCCTGACCTAGAACCTCCTGGAGCTATTGCTGCTTTTGTTGTTGTTGGAGCTTATTGGAATGATCACAATGACGTAGACATCAGGAGACTTTGCTAGATCAACCACAAAGTGACCTAGCAGGCGAGATCACAACCTGAAAAAGCTTTTCTTCGCGTGTCAACGTCTCCCGTTGAACTGCATTCCAGTAAAGTTTGGGTTTGCCTCAGAGTACCTATCCTTTTACAATTTTTGAACGCAAACAAGGATCATCAACTGTTTCATTTTTGTTGATTTGGCTCTAGATCTCAGGATGCGTATCATCAACGGTCACAGCACCACCACCCTAACCACAGGAAATCTCTTCAACGGCAGGTCCTTCAATTTGCGGTCACGTGCCTCTTCAGATCCACCTGGACTTTCAGCTTGCCTTTGAAGCTCGTGTAGAACTGAGGCGTGAAGGTCAAAGCGTCGGACATCAAGCAGATTTATTAGCGTTGGTCTCAGCGATTCAAACAGGATGCCATTCTTCTCATAGTTCTTCACAGTCGATGTTCAATCGGGACAAACTGCGTGGAAGGAAATTTTATTAAAAAAATATAGCGAGCCAAATGCTGTGGAACGCAAACCGACTTAAGGTTTAAGCAGATAAGGAGGAACTTACCTTAATGCCATTATATTCTCAATATTGTCCACATTTTTCAGCTAGAGCAGTGGAAGTGTATTGTACAGAAACATGTTGGTTTTCAAATTATCGAGTTGCCTTCGTCTCTTCCAATCTCCAATTATGGCACCGAAAGTCTTGTAGAAATGGGTCTTGATTAGGCAATATCGGTTCCTATAGGATTTGATTAAGACCCGCCAGAGGCGAACCAAACTGTTGATATTCGGCCCAAATTTCATCGTCCGGAAGCTTCAAGTAAATGTAATTGACTGCATTTCAACGAGCTCAAGATGTTTCCGAATGTAGGCTTGAATTAGAGCTACGCTGCCTTGTCCAGGAGTGCATTGGAATAATGGGCAATCACTATTCTCGTCAACAGTTTGTAAATTTAGATCAACTGAAACAAAGTAAATTATTTCATAAAATTTCATTTGACAATGATTCAGTCGAAATCGCTTACCGAAATCGAATCGATATTATTGTTAATAAATACTAACCAGGCCGTTGCTTGCACTCCATATATCCGATAGTAGGAAACCAGTGAACTGGTAACTGGATGATTAATAATTTATTTATTTTTTACATTTTTTATCACGCAAACCAAAACAAACCACGAAACCAAAACAAACCACGAAACCAAAATAAAACACCAAAACAAACCATGCAACCAAAACAAAACAAAACATATAGATCTGGCTTAACAATTGAACAGGGCCTATCAGCATTTGTAAACAAATGCTTTGAAAGCCCTCTCCTCGCAAAGCAAACACCGCCCATGTAAACCAACAGCCTCAAGAGGGTGGGAAAAACTTCTGATGATGATGTTCGATTGCGTGGGTGAATTCACAAAGCATTTGTTTTGTTTACAAATGTAAATAGGCCCAATTGTATTGTTGAACCAAAGATTTTGAAAAATCAGCACAGAAATGGTACACGGTCAATATGAACAACTTAAATTTGAGTTCACTTCACTCAGAAATTCGCGAATCCAGCAGGAACTCAGAGGATGAGTAAATATGAATCCAAATTTGAGTTCATCTTACTCATATTTGAGTAATTTACTCATCATCTGAGTTCCTGCAGGATTCGTGAATTCTGAGTAAAGTGAACACAAATTTGCGTTGTTTCCATTGGCTGTGTACAGAATACAATCCGGAGTGATTTGAGATTTAGGCGTATCTGTTTTGTAAACAAACATTTAAATCGCCGATTTCTCACGGATTAAAGTTAAATCTCGCAAATCGAATCAACCATATGATAGAGGAATAATTCCTCTATCATCTGGTTGAGTCGATTTGCAAGATTGAACTTTAATGCACGAGAAATCGGCGATCTAAATGATTGTTTATAAAATAGATACGCCCAAATCTCAAATAACTCCAGCAGTATTTGATTTTCAAACTTGAAAAAAAAATCAATTGTAGGTAATGCAGAATTACGTCGATATCAAACGTATTGAATCTACTACTAAATTCATCACGTACCTTCAAGAAATCGTCCTTTAAAACCAGATAGATGGCATCCAGAACCTCGGGTATAATGGATGAAATAGTTGGCTGCGGGATGCGGAAAAGGTACTGCAGCGACATGAAGCTTTCTCCGGTGGCCAAGTACCGCAACGTCAGTGCCAGTCTTTCTCCAGCTGAAATTGCTTTCCGCATAGGCGTGTCCTGTTTTTGGATATGCGGGGTTACCAAATCCAACAAGTAATCAAAATCAGCTGCGGTCATTCTCACGAAGTTTCGGAACAAATTTGGATGGTCGTTCCTCAACTCGTTCAGTAGGGTTGCGTAGCATCCTTCAGTTTCCCGCTTCTTCACCCAGTCCTGGACCCAAACACTACGGACTTTTTTTTCCGGTTCGTCCTCCTCCAGCAACAGATACGCTGCTCCCATAACTGCGGCGAATCGAGAATAAAAATCCATCCTGGTTGTTTTTTCCTTGATTTAACTTCACAAAACTGACGCGAACGATAAAAAAAAACGCAAACAGTTGCCAACAATGTGATGACGTTTTAAATAAATTTGTTGACCGTTGATCAAAACTCTTTATTTCCTGTTTGGCCAAATATATTTTTGTCAAATATTTGCAAACTGTAATCATTGTGTAATAGATTGACAAACAGCTTTGCCAAAGTTCGTTATTTGGCAAAATTGGACGAAGCAAATATTTGGCGTTTTGTCAAACAGTGTAATGATAGCTTAACGAAGAGCAAAACGTCGCCTGCGGATGAACGAATAAAGTTGGAGAAGTCAAGCCCCCTGTGGAGACTGTCACCAATGATCGATGAACAAGGTCAAGGTCGTTCTACGAGTCGATGGTCGGATATCTGCAGCGAAAGGGGTTCCTGTAGACGTGAAGTTTCCCGTTATATTACCCAGAAATCACCGAGTCACCAATCTCATCGTAGACAGCTACCATAGAAAGATTCTACACGGCAATTCTGAAACAGTGGTCAACGGTTCTACGTTGCTCAGTTACGAATTGTTGCTCGAAAGGTAGCTGAGCGATGTCAATGGTGCAAGGTGTATAAAGCAAGACCAACGGTGCCTAGGATGGGTCTCCTCCCGTCTGCACGTCTGTCACCGAGTGTTCGCCCGTTCACCTATATTGGCGTCGACTACTTTGGGCCTATTCTGGTGAAGGTAGGTCGATCGTCAGTGAAACGATGGATCTGCCTGATTACGTGCCTAACAATACGTGCAGTGCACGTGGAAGTGGCTTTTGATCTATCAACAAAGTCATGCATAGCCTGCTTACGCCGTTTTGTCTGCCGAAGGGGAGCACCACTCGAAATATACTCCGACAATGGACGGAACTTTTCCGGAGCAGATCGGGTGTTGCGGGATCAAATCCAGCGTATCGAACAGGACGCAGCGACAACATTTACCAACGCGGAAACGAAGTGGTTGTTCATTCCACCTTCCGCGCCACATATGGGAGGATTGTGGGAGCGTATGGTACGCTCCATCAAGAACACGATGACTAATCTACCCCAGGATCCGGCATCATGGGCAGTTCAACTGGGGTCAAACAACCGGCGATGAAAATTGCGGAAACAGCAGAAACTATCCGAGTGTCTTGGGACTTGATTCAGCAGCGCATCGACTTTTTCTGGAAGCGGTGGATTATGGAGTATCTGCCAACACTAACGAGGCGTACCAAGTGGTTTGGTGAGACAAAACCGGTTGAATGTGGAGATTTGGTGATCGTGATTGACGAAACCAGAAGAAATGGATGGGTACGTGGACGTGTTCTGGAGGTGACAACAGGCCGAGATGGCAGAGTTAGGCAGGCGATGGTTCAAACACCTGGTGGATTGTTCCGGCGACCGGTCTCCAAATTGGCTGTGCTGGACGTAGCTGAACGTAGTGAGGTTGAGGGTCCCACTCATCCTCACGGGGAGGGGGATGTTGCCACCACTACAGCACCGGCAACCCGGCCCGCGGCGCTTTCGCTGTAAACGATTGGGCGAAACGAAGGTTCGCTCAAACAACACTAGGCGCGCATTGAGTGGACGGATGAGTGCAATACAGATCTCTATACAGGTTGAAATCAATAGAATAGAATACAATAGAATAATCGAATTTGGATTGTTTACCTATTGCGATAATGTGGTATCTTATCTATTTATGTGGTACCTTATAAATTAACTTGAAATTAATAGGTGAGAGTAAGTTGTGCTTATATAATTAACTTAATTAATGCTAATTACCCTACTCTAAAACTACAGCTAAAAATATTGCTAGATATAGCAAAGTTGTTTGGAAATAGTGACTCAATGATTGTGAATTACTTTGGTAGGTTAGAAACACTTAATTGTTTAATGCTAGAGATTAATTATGTTGCCATAACTATCGTAGCAGATAATTAGACTAAGACGGACGAGGAATTAAGAGGAGTCACTATCAGTGTAATAGTGCACTGTTTAATGTGAGTAAGACTTATAATGAAATAGTACACGGTGTTTATTAATTTGTTTTACAGCTTGAAGCATAAAATATACCTGCTATCAAGAACGGTGCGAGGTTTTGTTTAATAACATCCTTTTTCATGGCCATTGCATTTGCTCTATCTACCGGAATTTGTTCTTTTATGTAGATAGTTTTTAGTTGAGAGGTGAGTTTTTCCACCTCATTGCAGAAACTTTCAGCAGAATCATTCTGCTTTAGTGTGTTTAATTTTGCGATCAAGTTGTCGGATGTAACTTTTGTTTCGCAATGTTGCTTAATTGTGTCTAATAGGGCTTGGAGGTCGTTGGCATTGGCGATAACTTGCCTGGCAACGCCTGTTAAGCGCGTTTTTACAAATCGCAATACTGTAACTTGAGCTGCTGCTTGCTGTGCAGCAGTAGCTGTGGCAAACTCATTTTCAACCGTATCATTGAATAATTGTATTTAATTCTGATATTTTTGAATCTAGGCCAGATTTTAACAATTCTGATTCCATATGCCTACGTAATTTATTATAATTAATTATGTTTTATAATACATTATGGTTTTGACTCACCTGTTGAGCTCGGAGATAACGGATGTCTCTCGTAACTATGGGCAACACAACAGCAGTCACATCGGTTGGGTAACTTCTTACCTTGGGATGGCGATTCACGGATCATCAGTCTCTTTGTACTTCTGCTGACGTTGAATTTTACGTTGGTGGGTTCAGTCACATCGGTTGGATTCGTTCTTACATTGGGACGGTGATTCACAGGCCAGCGACCCGGTACACTTCTGATGGCGTTGAATTTCACGTCGGTGGATACAGTCACATTAGTAGAGTCAATTATTACATTATGACGGCGATTCACGTATCACGGTGCACTTCTGCTAGCATCAAATTTCACGTTGGAGTATACAGGATCCATTTGAATAATCACATACAAAGTTCACTGGCATGGCACGTTTCTACTTTGGACGGGCGAAATTTGAATTGTTCACTTTAAACTGCATCCAATGCTGCCAATGACTTCGCGGCTTTTATGGCGTTCTTCCTTTCACGCTTTTTGTACATTTTGCTCAGTGCGATTAATAAGTGTAACACTGACACCACTAAAATTAACCACAGTAGTAGCGTTTGGAATTCATGATCTGCACTGTGTTCTTCTTGAGTTTGTATGACCGTAACTTGGGGGTCACCATTCTCGTCCATATTTTTCGATTGTTGTTTCCCCATGGTTGGTTTTTTTTTTTGAAAATATCACTTCACTTGAACTTTGTTCTTTAGTTACATTAGTGCGTTTGATTCCTAATTTCACTCGCACTACAATAAATGCTGAAACATTGAATTGTTCAACTTCCACGGATTTCTCTTCAAGATTGGAATTGTAGGCTCCTGCCACTTGGCACGGTCTGCCATGTAATTTCCTTTCAATTGGGTAGCTTGCCCAGAACAGGGAGAGTGATACTCCTTAATGAACGAAACATTTTCGTTGACGGTTTAAACGTTAATGCTTTATTTGAATCAACTGAAATACAACATTACCTACGGGAGACATCTGAAGTCGAGTTATTTACTCCTGCATTATGTAAGCGATCACCAATCGGTGATCGTCATTCGAATTGAGAGAGTGTGTTAAACTGAGAGAATGGCGTATGCAATGGAGAAGGCGTAAAGCTGCTTGGTAACAAATCACTAGAGCGTCCTTGGCAACAGTGAAATGTGAATATGATCCTTATGGGACAGAAAGTGGAATCGCTGACATGTGTTTTCGATTATCGAACCGCTTTATGCAGTTCGTTGGCTTGGGAAAATATTTGAAGCAAGGTCCCACGAGTGTGGTCTTGAAACTAATGGTTCTTGGAAATAAGGATAGCAAACATGGTTCTAGAATTTGATGACATGTAAGATTCACATGTCACATCGCTGATCAATTGAACATTGACGGAGAAGTTAAACCTTTATGTTTAACCTGGACAGCAAATGTCACGCGGCGTGAGTCTACGTCTCGTCGCATAAGCTTAAAGATTTCCGCATCTGGTGGTACGAGGTTTACACTGGAAAATGTCCGAACTGTCGCTGGCTTGGATTTACCGGTACAAACTCTTCGGTACGGGGATCTTGTAAAAGGTTATCCTTATCTGGAGGGACTGCCAGTTCAGAGTTACGAACAAGCCGTCTCAAGAATCTTAATCGGGCTCGACAATGTGCGTCTTTCTATTCCGCTGAAAAGGCGAGAAAGAGGAGCACAGCAGCCAGTCACTACGAAAACCAGATTGGGCTGGACTGTGTTTGGCAGCATCGGTGATTCTGCTAAGATCAATGATGTACCGTCGTTTCACATTTGTGAATGCGAGGAGTTGAAACATGAGCTGGTGGAGAGTTTCTTCGCGGAAGAAAGTCTTGGTATTTCGATACCACGTACGCTCGAAGGAAAAGAAGATCGACGGGCACGAGAAATCCTGGAGAGAACAACAATACGACGGGAAGACGGTTGCTATGAGACAGGATTACTATGGCGCAGCGACGCGGTGCAGTTTCCTTCTAGCTACGCTATGGCCGAAAGGAGGTTAGCATGTCTTCAGCGACGTTTGAAATCGAACCCGGAGCTGCAAGCAAATTTGGAAGGGCAAATCGAAGATTACCAGAAGAAAGGCTACGCTCACAAGGCATCGCAGAAAGATATCCAAGACGCCGACCCTACGCGAATGTGGTTTCTGCCGTTAGGGGTGGTAGTCAATCCTCGAAAACCTGGGAAAGTTCGAATGATTTGGGATGCAGCTGCAATGGTAAACGGTGTATCCTTCAACGGAATGCTATTGAAGGGTCCGGATCTGCTAACTACACTTCCGAAAGTGCTGTCTCGATTTCGCCGTAGCGGACGTGCGGGAGATGTATCACCAATTTTTCATTCGGCGGGTGGACTGCATGGCTCAGTGCTTTCTATGGAGTCCAGATCCATCAACAGCTCCGGAAATCTTCATTATGGATGCGACTACCTTTGGGTCGACGTGTTCACCTTGTCAAGCACAATACATTAAGAACCTACATGCGAAAATTTTTGAGCTTGACTTTCCGGAAGCGGCAGTGGCTATAGTAGAAAATCATTATGTGGATGACTACTTGAATAGCCGGGACACCGAAGAGGAAATGACGAAGCTGGCTGTAGACGTTCGTACCGTTCACGCCAAAGTCGGATTCGAAATCAGAAATTGGCTGTCGAACTCATCGAAGGTGCTGCAAGGTATCGGAGTGCAGAACGTCGTTCGTAAAGAATTCGGCAACGATAAGGTTAATCAGGTTGAACGAGTTCTGGAAATGGCATGGCTACCAAATGAAGACGAATTCATCTTCAGCTTGTCGTAACCGGAGGATCTACAGCGTCTTGTGTCGGGAGATTCACCGCCAACGAAGAGGAAGATTCTGCGATTTATTATGAGCTTGTACGATCCCTTCGATCTGATCTCTCACATTCTCGTCCATGGGAAAATATTGATCCAAGATCTTTGGATATGTGGAGTCGGATGGGACGAAGTGATTCCGGAGAATGTTGAAGAAAGCTGGATAGGTTTGCAAACAGTTTCAGCACCCTGGAACAAGTACGAGTACCTCGTTGCTATTTTCCTGGGTATGTAACGCAGTGTTACCAAACATTGGAGCTCCATATATTTGTGGACGCAAGTCTGTCCGCTTTGGCTTGCGTAGCTTATTTCCGCGTAATCGATCGCGGACAACCACGGTGTGCGCTGGTTGCGTCAAAGACGAAGGTAGCACCTCTGAAACCATTATCGGTTCCGCGCTTAGAACTGCAAGCAGCATTGCTGGGTAGTCGATTGATGAAGTCTATTGTCGAGAATCATTCGATAGAAATCCAGAAAAGGTACATCTGGACTGATTCTGATACAGTATGTCGCAGTGAGAGTCGGAGAAATCTTGGAGGATACAAACATTCAAGAATGGCGAGACGTTCCGTCTAGACTCAACTTTGCTGATGAGGGCACGAAGTGGAAGGGAGTTCCTGATTTGCATCCATCCAATCGGTGGTTTGCAGGTCCAATCTTCCTATACAAACCTGAAGACCAGTGGCCACAGCAGAAGGTAAATTTCATCGATGTTTCTGAAGAACTGCGGGCAGTTCACGTCCATAGGGAAATCGTTGGCACAAGCTTCATCGATTGCAGTCG